GTTCGGTCTAGACCTGCTCTATTTGGAAAAGTGTCCTGAGATAACTTCTGTTATGAATTGGCGCTATACAAATAAAATTGAATTGAATTGAATTAAGCCACGCCCCTTTTTGTTCAGTTAAGCAAACCGCAGTCAGAACCTCTGTCAACTTCCTCCTTTCCTGTACTTACATATGCTATGTGCTAGGCTAATCTATGTTAACAGACAACCACATATTGAAGATGGTTAAAAGATAAAAGTGACATATATATACAGTCACATGCAAACATTTAAATACAGCTCAGACTTCCAAGTGTGTAAAGAAACTATGGCGTCAAACATGTTGATGTACTCACCCTCATCTTTGATTTTGTCGGCAGCTTCTGATGCCTTGTCCTTGAGATTCTTCACCGCGTCGTCAATCTTGGCCTCGTTTTTGAGGAAGAAGGGTCGAATGATGCGGTTATAAATCTGGACTGATCCATTGGAGGCAGTCGGAGCCATGCACCACACCAAGAAGGCACACTGGAGAGAAGACAAGAGCTCTCTCATCAAACTAGAACAGACATCACGGTTACATTACAGGCTGTACTGGTGAAATGAAATGAAAGTCTCATTTTAGAGCCTTCACCTATTCCAGTTCATAAGACAGCAAATTGTATGCTGAAATAAATCATTTTGTCAGATGGTAACAAACAGTGTTTTATTTAAAGTAAAAAAAACGCTGAAATCCTCCCAGTAATAAAATCTACACACTCAAACCTCCAGCCCAATGTGTCTTTCTATCTTTCTAGACTCTGATTGGTTGTTTTTGTTCAGGCCCACCAGAGGCACCTGATTTTTTTAGATTATCTTTCTCATGGACTACTGTCAGGGTATAATAAAGTTTGAGCAAATACGACAAAAAGTTATTGTTATTGAAGCTACCTACTGCAGCTTTAAATGCTATGTTCTAATTTGTGCACACAAATTATTAATCAGAGATCAATTAATTTGTGCATATAAAACTGCTTTTTCTTGACTCCAGTAAAATAGCTGTAGTCTGACAGTGTACCTGTGGTAGTCGGCAGCTGGTTTACAGCAGCATTATATTGTACATCCCTTAAAGCAAACACTACTGGTTGCTGGTGAACCTATGACATAGCTTTCAGCACTCTGCAGTGAACTCCGCCCTCAAAATGTTGATTAGTTTATCTGCCAAGAAGAGAGAGCGAGAGAAATAACACATCTACTCTGGTGAGGTGCCTGCTTCAAGGTAGGTCATCAAAGTCAGGAGGGGAAAGCAGCCCACTCAACTCAGATTCAGTCTTTTTTATTAGTTTTAGGCACAAAGTAAAACCACAGCTACAGCCTCACATAACATCAATGGATTACATATAATGTCTTAGGTTATATGAATACTGTGGGAAGCTTCTTTTTAAAATTAAAAAATGGAAACTTATGGGTCATTTTATCAGCCATGAAAAGCAGGTCATTATTAGTTACCGTACTGGCTGAAAACTGGTAGGCCTTTTTCCACAACAAGGGAACAGGCTCCATTTCAGTTCAAGCACCTATTTTTGAACCGTTCTGAACATTTCAACCAAAATGTTGAAAAACTAAATTGATTCGGGAACTGAAAAGTTGGTTCCCAGCTGGAAACAGAAAATAGCAGGTTTTCCTTGGGAACCAATGTAGGAGTGTCATATTTTACAGGTCGTTGTGCATTGTGCAGCGCCCTCTGTTGATGATGCATCCGATTATCATGATGGAAACAAAGCCTGGTTTGCTAGAAAGCACCAAGGTTCCAAGAATCTTGAATGGAACCAGTTCAAGAACCAGAGCTAATTTGGTGGAAAAGGGGCAGGGTTGAAAGAAGTACAACAACCCCAAGCTGGATTACCTTTCCAAAATAGTAGAATGGGAACCAGGAGAGGAAGATATCAGCAAAAAACTCTGCAACACTGAAGAGTCCATACACCACCCAGTAGGTCAGCCATTTAGTATCATCCTCTTTGGTGGCACTTTCAATGGCCTTTATCCTGGAGAGAGAGGGGAACATGTAAGAGATATACTGATATAAAAGGTCAACATTACTCTCACTCTGGTCTAGCATGTGGACGTAAATGGTAAATGGTATATGGACCTGTACCTGTACCGCACCATTCTAGTCTTCCGCCCACTCAAAGCGCTTTTACACTACATGGGACATTCGCCCTTTCACACACATTCACACAGCGATGGCAAAGCCCATCAAACAGAAACACATTCATACACATTCACACACTGATGCACGGCATCAAGAGCAATTCAGGGTTCAGTGTCTTGCTCAAGGATCCTTCGACATGTGGTGGGAGGAGCTGGGGATCGAACAACCTTCCAATTAGTGGACGACCCGCTCTTCCTCTGAGGCCACAGCCACTCTGTGAATTAATAATAGGGGGCAGGTTCGATACAATGACCATATGGAGGAACGCAACCTTTTTGGCCAATTAGGCATTTTTGTTAACAACCGTGCTCATGGGACTATTTCTGTTGAATCGGCTATCACGTCAGGTTGATTGAGTAACACTGAGGAGGATCTATTGTCATAAATGGAATATAATATTCATTTTCATTAGAGTATAATCATTGAAAAATAAGAATCATTGTGTTTTTTTTACCTTAGAATGAGCTGTTTTTATTTACGGAGGAAGTGGGTCCTCTTCTATGGAGTCCGCTATGTTGAACTGCCATGTTTCTACAGCAGCCCAGAACAGACAAACCAAACACTGACTCTAGGT